CTGTGCTGTCCCCAACCTGTGTGTGCTCCTGGCCCTGGGCATGCTGCAAGCAGGACTTGGGAATCTGCCAGTGCTGATGATGCTCATTTTACTGTCTGGAGTTCATTAACCTGGTGTTAACTTCATTAACTTCCTTCAAAACCAGCAATTAACTTGGCCATGGCTGTTGGTCCTGTGCCCACAGCTGCTGTCTGTGGTGGTTGGGATGCACCCACCACTGCACAGCCTTGAACAGGAAATAAAAAACTGATTCTGTCCAAAGACTGGGCTTTGCTGAGGGGCTGAGCCACCTGGGCTGGTCCATGGCCATGCTGTGAGAGGGCATGGAGCTCAGAACCCCCATCCCAAGATGTGAGGGACCCTCTGGAGCTTTGTGCTGGAGGGCAGTGGCAGCCCCTGCCCTCTGCCGCTCTGAGGGTGTCCCAGTGGCTCCCAGTTCAAACTGGGCTGCTGGGAGTACCAAGGGCAGGGCCTGAGTGCTGCTCCCAACTCTGAAACTGCTCCCAGGGGTACCTGAACCACAAAACCTGCAGAGCCATGGGGCAGTTTTACTTCCTTAAGCCTTTTCAAATGTGATGCCAGAAATGAGCTGCCCACCTTGCTGTGAGCAGTGCCTGGGACCTGGGGGCTTTGGCTTGGGAGGGATATGTTGGGTTTTTACATTTTTCTTTTCTTTTGTAGTGTGCTGTTTCCTGGAGCTGAATGGCTCAGGGCTGACTGCAGTGCTTGTCTCCAAACAGACACAGAGTGCACAGACGTGATGTCCTGACTCCAGAGCAGGGAGTGAAGGAACTGGGGATACCATACTGCTGTGAAATGCCTCCCAGCTCTCCCCTTGGCTGCATCCTCTCTCAGTTTGGGGTGGGGACAGCAGCAAGACCCCGGGGAAGCTTCGTTTGTCCCACCTGAAGAACAACCCCAGCCCCAAGCGGGGTGGGTGCAGCTTGCTTTCCCTCTTCCCTGCCTCTGAAGGCCCTCGGTGGGGCCGGGCGGGCGATGGGGCTGCGAGGTACCAACAGAGCTGCTCTGTGACACTTGGCCGGGAGCACAGAGGGAGATTGATGTTTGCTCGGGCGCTCAGCCCTCAGCTGCGGGCTCTGCCCACCCCTGCGCCAGCTGGGGACAAAAGCCCCGGCCCCGGGTGGCACTGCAGGGCTGGCGTAAGCCCCCAGGACAGCTGGCAGCTCTGTAAGCTTGGCGCCCGCCCAGCGAGCCGGAGTGAAGGGGCTGCGGGGCCGCGCAGGGAGGTTTGCCCTGGGGATGCTGCATGCTCGGGTGTCTGAGCTCCACCGCCGAGCTGGCACCCCCCGGCCCCAGCTCCGCCTCATCCTCGGTCCTTCCTGTCCCCTGGGTGGGTGAAAAGGGCTGGGGTGGCTCTGGGGAGCACCCCACAGAGCTGGCTGGGGAGAGAAGGTGATGAGGTTTGGGGCTCCTGCCCAGCCCTCCTGGCATCTCCCACGTGGGAGTTAAATGTGTCAGGCACCAGTTGTGTCAGAAAAGTCACCCGTGGAGAGGTACTGGTATCTGTGTGGGTACAATGGTGGGTCAGGGCTCCTGTCCCCACAGGGCAGTTGTGCCCTTGTCCCCTCCCCACGCCGTGAGTGGGAGCTGGCTGCAGTGTTCTTGGCAGAGACAAATCCTCAGCACACGACACTGAAAATCCCAGAAAGCTTTATTTGCGTAGGAAGATCGATGCTGTTTAAAAACCCACCACTGCAGGAGGCTGGCGTGGCTGCCCAGTGCCTGTGGTGCTGCTCAGACACTGGCACCTCCCTGTTTGGCACTGCCTCGGGTGCTGGGGAGCCAAGGGTGCCTCCAAATGGGGCCTCCCCTAAAGCAAGTCTGCCTGGACACACAGTGGGGCCCCATGGGGAACCCCACGGCAGGGGAGGCATGCACAGGGCTGCAATGGGATGGAGCTGGCTCAGCCTGTCCCTGTGGGTCCCTCAGTCCCCTCATGGGGTGGCCTGGGCCCAGTTCTCTGCTTGCCCCACCTGTGGCTGAGCACTCTGTGGGGCTCAGGGGGCTCAGAGGATGATGCTGCCAGTCAGTCCTGCGAGGAAGAGGGGGATGAGTGGTGCCTGAGGAGCCAGGCCAGGGATCACAGCAGGGGTTTCTGCCTGGCTCTGCTTTCAGAAGGCAGTGCTGGCTCCTGGCATGTCCCCCTGCCCTGCAGGGTCCATTCTGCCATGGCAGGTGGTCACTGGAGCACTCACTGTGCCTCAAGAAAAAGGGTGAATCCGATTTCCATCCTGCCCTGACTGGAAGACTCTGGGCCCTCTCCTGCACCCATGGCCCTGGGGCCTGCTGGGCTGCAACCTTCTCCAGGCTGACTGTGGGCAGAGGGAAAGGAGAGCATCACCACACTCCTCTCTGGAGGACTTAAGCATCACCTGCTGCTTTTATTTCCTGCAAAGCATGGAGGGTATCCAGGTCTGGAGGGCTGGAAGCCTTGCTGAGCTTGTCCTGTTGGTGTTCCAGTTGCTCTCCTCTCCAGTGGAAGAGTATTATGGATGAACTTGCCTAGGGGATGCTGTACCCAGATGCTGGGCTGAGGAATGAGGCAATTCTCACCTCCATCTCTCCTCTGGCACCATGGTGCTGTGGGAATGCAGCAGTCTGGGGATGCCACCACTCACTCTGCTCCTCCAGACAGATTGGCCAAGCTTTCCCCACTGCTTTCATCCCAAGAGATCTCGCTTGGAAGATGGGCTGTGGGCCCTACCCTTCTGATAATGCAGTGCCATCTCCCCAGTGCCAAGTGACTCCATCTGGGCCCCTTCAGCAGGACTGAGCTTGCCTGCTGCCTGCCTCAGGGCTGGCCTTTCCTTGGAGGAACAGAGCCTCCTGCCCACTGTCCCTGCCAGAGTCCTGCCTGCAGCCCTGGGCCTCAGGGGCAGCTCTGAGCTCTGCAGGGAGGGCAGCAGCCCCACCCTGCTGCTTTGCTGTGTGTTGGAGCTGGCTGGGGCTGCAGGGCCCTGTCATTGCTGGCCAGGGGGCTGTGGGGCCATAGCCTGCACCCTGTACAGTGCAGGTGCAGGCAGGGGTGCTGCCTGCTCTTCCCTGCAGCCAAGCTCCAGGCCAGAGGAGAGGACTGCACCTAATCCCTGGCTGCTTGGGGCACACAGCTCAGTGATGCTGCCTGGAGAAGCAGCAGCCTAACATGGTAGGTGTGGAGAAGGGGAGGGTATTTTTCTGGGAGGTGATGTTTTCTGGCTGTGCCAGAGTACCTGGGGCTCTCCTGTGTCCCTGGCTACCCAGGGCTTCCCCAGCAGCTCAGCATTCCTGGGGAGCAGTTGTTTCCCTGTGCCCTGACAGCACAGCATCCCGGGGGACCTGGGGTGACACCATGCAGGAAGCAGGAGGGGTCCCTCTCTCCAGCTGACCACGGGGACCTGTGATTGTTGATCCCCCACTCTGTGCCACGGGATCCAGTGGGGCACGGGGGCTGCCACATGCCCAGGCTCTGCGGCCCAGCCCAGCTCCGGGACAGAGGGAATGCAGTTCTGGCCGAGCTTGTGGCACCTGGGCACGCAGCGGGGGTCACACCAAGAGGCAGCCGTACTTTTCCAGCCTCAGGGCACCAAGTGGATGTCCTCCGAGCGCAGCACTTTGTAAACGACCCAGTAGAAGATATTGAAGAGCAGGAAGGTGAAGGGGAAGACGGCTCTGGAGACGGTGTCGATGCGCTTGGCGCGGTCGATGTAGCGCCGGCGGAGGCTCTCCCCCTCGCGCAGCACGGCGGGGGCTGCCGGGGGGCTGTACACGCCGGGACCCTCCCCAGCCCCCTCCTTGGGCTGCAGGCAGTGGCCCAGCCCGTAGCCCCGCAGGTAGAAGCGGCTCTCGCGGCTGAGCTCTTCCTCCTGGCGAGGGAAAGGCGCTCAGCCGGGGCACGGCGGGTGCTGCAGGGTGAGCTGCACGTCCCGCACACCCTCGGTGCTGGGTGGCAGTGCCCGTGCCAGGCTGTCAGACAGCCCCGGCCATGCAGGCAGGAGCACGGGCTGCCAGGGCTGTGCAGGGGGCAGGGCTGGGCACCGAGCCCCTCATTCTCGTCCAGCACGTGTTTCAGGGTGCAACCCCACCCTGGCAGCCCGACACAGCCCCCCGGCTTCCTCCCAGCTCCAGCCTGGCTCCGGCAGCCAGAGGGATGGGGGGTGAACTGGTGGAAGGGGGCACACAGAGGGGTGCAGGGAGCTGAGGTGTGCAGGCGCTGCTGAGAGTGTGCTGTGTTTGCTGGGGGGTGGGAGCGTGACTGTGATGGTGGATGGGAGGGGACAGGCAGCTTGCTGGGGCAGAGCAGGACAGATGCAGGAGCCTGGCTACCACCAGGGCTTGCAGGGCACCCCAGTCCCTCCAAGAACCAGGGCCTCATTTCTCCCCATGGCTGCTTGGCAGAGATTGCCTGGGGCAGCAGAGGAGGGAGGCTGAGAGAGCTGGACTCCTTGCTGGTCTCTCTGCCCTTGCTCACCCTCTCCCTCCCCTTGCTGCAGAGGGGGCAGCGTGCCCACGGAGTTGCATGTTCATGATCAAGGCTGCAAAACTGCCGCGAGAGTGTCTGGCCGCAGCCCACTGCCACTGTTCACCGATTGGGTGCCTCAGGGGCTGGCCGGCAGTGCCTGCCCTCCTCCCCATCCGCAGCTGTGCACTGTTAGCCGCTTGCCTTGTTTTAGCCTTGGAGAGGGTTATGTGTGCAGAGATTTGATGAGGGATGGGCATGTGCAAGCACAGGCAGCACATCTGGCTTTTTGCTGAGCCTCTGGACTCATTTGGTCTCTGTGGCTGAGCTCAGCTCCCCTCTGCCTTTGCTGGTGCTGTATCTGGCTGTGGTGGGTCCTTCCTTCCAGGGCCTGCTGCAGGTCAGTGCCTCACTTTGTGTCTGGGTGCTGCTTGGGATCCCAAACACCATCTCTGGCCAGCACTGTCCTCCAGGACACAGGGGCTGCTTGCTGAGGTCAGCCCCTGCAGGCACTCGGCTGGCACGGGGGCTCTCATGCAGAGAGTTTGTACCCTGGCATCTTTATTTAACTCAGCAATCCACCAGCTAAGCAAGATTTTACAGTGGGAAGAGCAGCAGTGGCTGAGATTGCTGAGGTTAGTTCTCATTTGCAGTACAGTTTTATTTCCCTGCCTCAGGCTGAGTCCTGCAGCCTCTCTGGATGGGTGCTCTGTGTGCTCTGGGGACCAGCAGCTGCTCCCCCAGCCCGGGGAGCCAGCAGGCCCAGCCTGTTCCTGAGCCTGGATTTGGGTGGTCTGCGGGAGGGATTTGCCCTCAGGCTGTGAAACCCAGGCACAGGAGCTGTAGCAGGGCTCTGCTTCCATCTCTCACTGAGCAGCACCCCAGGGTGCTCCTGGCTGCATCCAGTGCTGTGCCAGCAGCACCCCGGGGTGCTCTGCAGCCTCCACCTCAGGGCAGCTGCACTTTGGTCTGTTCTGAGCCAGCACATGGTCCTTGGGCTGGACAGAGCCTCCCCCTCCCTGCCCTGGCTGGGTGTTGATCTCCAGGAGTCATCTGTGAAGGGCAGGGTGCAAAGATGCCTCTCCTGGCATCCAAGGGCTGATGATGGTGTAGAGGAGGTGAGGCTGAGCAGGCCTGATCTCCTTCCTGGAGCTGTGGTTGATCCCCTGCCTATCCCCAACATCCTGGGAGCTTGTGCTGCCCCACACTTCTCCCTGTGCCTCAAAGTGCTCGCGTTCCCTGAGCAGCTGCCTGTGCAGGAGTGACTGCAGGCAGCTGGGAGTGCCTGGAACCTGCAGGGAGGCAGAGCCCTCACCCTGCCAGAGCTGTGGGCACGGCTGGAGAGCTGGCAGCAGCCATCAGCTCACCCTCAGCAAAGGGGACTGTGCCTGTGCTGCTTTCCAAAAGGGGAACCCAAGGTATGGAGTGGGGCTGTCCACAGGGAAATCTGCTCCGTTCCCATCCCTCTCAACACTTCTGAGCCCAGGCACTGGCAGCCACATCCTACGGGCACATTTTCTGTGTGAATCACTGGCCTGCTCCTTCCACAGACCCTGCTGGGCTCCTGGGGGCTCCTTTGGGGAGGGGAGGGTGAGGCTGCTGGGGAAGCACGGGGGCTGCAGGGTCGTGCTTTACCCGGGAGCTGGAGAGCTGCGAGAGCGTCGCGTAGGTGTGCTCGCTGCTGTGCCGGCTGCTCAGCTGCCGCAGGGACTCCAGGCTGGCCGTGCCGCTGCTCAGGCCCTTGTGGCATCCAGCAGTGTGCACCAAACAGAAACAGGACAGCGGGTGACCCAGGGCTCTTCCCCGGCCCCGGGGCAGCGGCTCTGGGCGCCAGGATGGGGATGGTGGGGAGATGGGGCTCTGTGTGTTGGGGGGAAAAGCCCCGCAGTGTGCCCTGGCACTGGGGTCTGTCTTCAGCACATGCCAAAGGGATTTGGTTGCATGAGATGTACTGAGCCTGTGGTGTGTGTGTGTATGTGTGTGTGTGTGTGTACTCCTGTCTTCTGTGGAGATCTGGTGCCTCACAGATTGTTCAAAATGAGAGTGGGGCAGCCCATGCCTTCCCCAAGCTCCATACAGGCCTGATGCCTGTGTTGATGGGCTGACAGAGGGGAGGACAATTTCCATGAGTGAACTATCCTGCCTCTCCAGTCCTGCTGTGCTCCCATCTGCAGCCCAGACCTGTCCCTTGGTGCCACCATGTCCCTCCCTGACACGGCAGCGAGTCCCTGTCACTGCCAAAGGGCCCAGGTTTGGGTAAGGGGAAAGGCTGGTTTCCCCCATCCTCACTGTTTCTTTTTCTGCAGCCTGAGGATGTCCCAGCAGGAGAAGGACAGCACCCTAAGCAGGGCCTGAAGCACCCATGGGTGCTGAGCCCTGTGCTGCTGTGCCCATGGGTCCCCGGGGTGCTGGAGGAGCCATCTGCTGCTGTGGAACGCAGCCCTGCCCTGGGGGCTGCTGAGAAACTGTCCCTGCAGCCCTGGGGTGTCCCCTCAGGGGCTGAGGACGAGCAGATGTCACAAGAGGGGGACTCACCATCCTCTGGCGGCGCTGGCGGCGGCGCAGGCGCATGAACTCCTTGTGCTGGCGGGAGACAAAGTTGACGGCTGCGTACTCCAGCAAGGCGGCGAAGACGAAGAGCAGGCACACGGCCATCCAGATGTCAATGGCCTTCACGTAGGACACCTGCCGGGGTGACAGGGGGCTCAGGGACCCACTGCCCCCCACCTTGCTCGTCCCCCCCACTGCCAGCTTCCAAGAAGCGTGGCAGCCCTCTCAGCCTGGGCACTGGCCAGAGCAGCCAGCGTTTCCCCTCAGCACGTGTGCTGCCCCAGCTGATGAGGCTCCAAAGCCAAGCCATTCCCAGGGAAAGGCTCTCCCTGCCCCTGGGGCGCTGCGGGGCAGCCAGGCAGGCAGGCAGGCAGCGCCTTGGGCAGGGAGGCGCGGGAGCCGGCGCTCTGCGTGGTCATGGTGAGCACCGTGGTGATGCCCAGGCCCACCCGGGCTGGCGCCGCATCCATGTTGATCCAGAAGGAGACCCAGGAGAGGATGACGATGAGGAGGCTGGGGATGTACATCTGGATCAGGTAGTAACCCATCTGCCTCTCCAGGTGGAACTTCACCTCGATGCAGGTGAACTTGCCTGCAGGGAAAGGCGGCCCCAGTGGGCGAGAGGGACCCCTGGGCCATGGCAGGGGGTGGCAGCAGGTCCCTGGGGTGCTCACCTGTGTTGTAGTACTTGGTGCAATAGCCCAGGTCCTTCTCATCCCTGAGGATGAACTGTGGGAGTGTCAAGCCCTCTGCCACCTGCACGGCCTCCTGCTCCTCCAGCCACTCGAAGATGAGGTCGTTCATAGTGTAGCCAACTGGAGGGGATGTAGGGAGCCATGGGATGGGGACACGTACCCCGTTCAACCCCACCCTGAACAACTTCCTGAACAACTGCTTCTTCCTGCTCATGTCCCTCAGAAAAAGTGAGCTGCCAGCTTTTCGGATGGCATGGAATGGGAGGGGATGGGATGGGAAGAGGGAAATGAAGCACAGCTTGAACCCCCCGAGGTACTCACAACTCTCCAGCTGCATGGTGCATGTCTGGATGTCCATGGGGAAGTTCTTGAGGTCCATGGGGCAGGACAGGATCAGTGTCAGCCTGGAGGAGGCAGAGGAAAGGAGAGAATTGCTGGAGCTGGGGCAGTCAGTGGGGGAAAGTCACCACATGAAAGGCAAGAGGAAAGCTTTGCCTCCCCACTCAGGCACTGCACCAGAGGGGAAGGTTCTACCTAATGCTGTAGAGCACGTTGCCATTCTTGAAGATGCGCAGGAGCTTGTTGTCAGTGGTGACCTCGTGGAAATTGGCCCCTTTCTCGTTGGCAAAGAACAAGTCTGGCTTCCAGATGGAGTCGAGCATGGAGGGGTCGAGGTCGAGGGAGTCGTCGGGGTACTCGCGGTAAGCCAGGCGGGGGTCGTTCCACTGCTGCCGCAGGAACACGTTCACCCGGTAGTCCTGGGACACGGGGCACCGCCTCAGCTGAGAGCACCGGCGTGCCCGGGGAGGAGCAGGAGCAGGAGGAGGAGGAGGAGGAGGAGGAAGGGCTGCCTCTGTTGAGGCTCAGCCCTGCTGTTGCTGCGTGCCTGCCACTAATAAAGCAGGGAGCCGAGGCAGCTCAGGAGCCTTCCCATGCTGTCAGCAGCCAGGGGAAATTAAAAAGCCAAGGCCAAAGCAGCTGAGAGAAGGAGGAGGAGGAGGAGGTGGGAGACCAGTAAGTGCTGCCTGCAGCATTCTGCACAGGCTCTGTGGGCCTGTTGATAGTATTAAGGCTTTAGCAGAAGCACCAATAGGAAATTTTTGCCCTGGGACTTCCTCTGAGGTGTTCCTCATGCACCCAAGGAGGTTCAGGATGGCAGGGGGTTACATCCATCTACCCCACTGTGACCCTTTGCGGGGGGTCTTTCTTCCAGCTCAGGCACAGGAAATGTGACCCACATAGCCAAGCTTGTGTTAGCTGACCCCAGGAAAGCCACAGCCATGTGCTATGGCTTTGCATGTCCCCAGCATGGTGCCAGGGATGGCTCCAGAGGAGTGACAGGAACCCCTGTGAGCACAGCCTTGGGCACTGGGACCCACACGCTGCCCAGCACAGCCACTGCCAGCCCCCAGGCACGGGGACAGGCTGGCCAAACGCTCACCATGGTGGTCTCGGTGACGGAGCCAAAGCTGTTGATGAAGATGTTGCAGGTGACGTTGACGGGCGGACCTGGAAAACAGCGTGAAGCCTCCTCTTGCTGCCGGCTGCGGAGACACGTGCGGGCACACGCGGGGACACCGGGGACACCGGGGACACCGGGGACACGCTGCGTGCCTGAAGGCACACAGGCGTCCCCTCCTGCTGGGGCCACCCCAGGGCTGGGGGTAACCCCAGCACGCCCTGCAGCCGCCCTGCTGCCAGGCAAAGCGAGCACACAGGGCTGGCAGGAGCAGCCGGGGCTCTGGGGAGGGTGTTGGGATGGGGATATGGTCAGGGTCCTGCCCCAAAGCCCCCGGGTTTGGGCAGCCAGAAGCGTGGATCTGCCAGCTTTGGAACCCTCACATCTCCCCTCTTACCTTTGAAGTTGGGTCGGATGCGGGCGTCGTACCCTGAGGTTCGTCCCATGAGCTTGTCCAGGAAATCAGAGGGTGACATGGGCTGGGCTGAGCTTCGGGAGCCAGCTTTAATCTCCTCCCGCCCTGAGACCAGCCTGCGGGGCAGGGGAGGCAGGTCAGCTGCTGCCAGGGGTCTGCAGGCACATTTTGGCCTTCCCTGGGGACGCTTAGCTGCCAGGGCAGGCGGCTGTGCCTGTGCTGCATCCACTCCAGTGCCCGCTCAGCATGGTGGGAGCATCCCTTCTGCTGGGATCCTGGTGGCTTTTCCCCTCACCTGCAACAGCCTGAGTGTCACATGCCCACATTTTGCCTGTCCCTGCCCCACCACTTCCCTTGGCATGAGGGCCAGTGTCTCCTGGCTCCAGGGCTGTGGTGGGGACAGGGCACAACCAGTGCTGGAGGGGAAAGCAGGGAAGCTCCTTCTCAGGTTCCACCTACAGCTCCAGCTTGAGTTGCTGAGCAAACAATCACCCAGTGCCTGTCACGGACTCACATCCTGGCAGGGCTGGGGGTCACAGCAGCCCTGCCTGAGTGAGCTGTCCAGAGCACAGCTGGCTTCTGACACCCTGCCAGGGGCCAGGGAGGTGTGGCAGCAGAGGAGCAGCAAAGCCCACCTCCACACCAGCCCTGGTGATGAGCTCTCCCACACAGCGCTCCGAATGACGATGGAGATTTATTCAAACTGACTCTGGAGGGGATATTTTTGTGAATGCATCTTAGCCTGCCAGCTTGTCTCCTCCTGTCAGTCTATAATGATAATTTCAAGGAACAATGCGAGAGATGTTCACTCACCACATTGCCAGGCATGTGGCTGCAATGGAAAGGAATTAGCCAGAGATCTCTGGACACAAAAGGAGCTTTGAGCATGCTGCTGGTGCTGCTGCATGATGCCTTGTAGCTCCACCAGGTCTGTGCCCAGGTGGATCTCACTCCTGCTTGGAGCTACAACCCCATCACTACAAGAAGAGGATGATGCTGGGAACCCTGTGGTCCTTCTTCCTACCTCTTTTCAATGGGGTGAAATTCATCCTAGAGGGGTTTATATGCACCTTACCAGCTAGAAATGGCCGTGAACAAAATGTTCTAGTGGGGCAGGTTTTCCTTGAATTGGAGAAGGGCAGCAGAGGGTACCTGAGATTCATCCTGATCAAGAGCGAAAGGCTGAGGGAAATTCCCCTCCAGGAGGTGCACGAGCAAGGTGTGGTGCCTTTGGGAGGAGGCTGCAAGAGGCTAACAAGGAGTTAAGTGAGGCTTCTGCCTGCCACACAGCTGTGAACCGTGTCCTCCTCCTCCTCAGCAGGACGGGACAGGGAGGGTTCTCCCCTGGAGCACGTGGGAGGGAGGCCCCCGGGCTCCCTTGGCAGGTAGCTCCTGGGAGAGGCTCAGATAACTGAGCCACAGCAGATCCGCAGCCCCGGGGATGCTCAGGCATCAGTGGGGGATGCCAAAATGCCCAGAGTGCAGCCGCTTCCCACGGCAGCCCTGGCAGGGCCGTGCTGGAACGCAGCCCTTGGGCACAGCCTTGGGACACTGCCCGCCCTGGGGCCTCTGCCCCGACCCGGGCTGGCACCGCAGGGCCCTGGCTCTCAGCACCTCTGTGCATGGTAGGGCTGGAAAACGCTGGTGTCTGCCTAAAACGCTGCCCTGAGACAAGCAGTTTCTGCACATGAAGCAATTCTGCCATAAATGTTGCAAATCCCCCCATGGCGCTCCAGCCGTACTGGCAGAGCGGTGGGAGCAGGACTGGGACCAGGCTCAGCCTGGAGTCCTGCAGCCCCCAACCCCTCCCTTCCTGACCCCCTCTCCCCTGCATCCCACCTTGTCCCAGATAACACCCAAGGCGGACAGAGGTGGAAAAAGGGACCTGGGGGCTTTAGATTTTCCACCCAAGTGGGCCAAGAGTTGTTCCTGCACCCACGGGACCTGGGGCACCCACCCACTGTCCCGAGTGACCCAGGGTCTGGGTCAGGGTCCATCCTGAGCTCTCCTCTCCCAAACACCAGGAGCCAGGAGAGGATCTGGACATCTCAGGGGCTTTGCAGCTCCGGGGAAGGCTGTCTGGGCTGTCCCCGGGCTAGCTCGCCCTTTCTCCCACGGGGGCAAGGCTCTCCCGCTGGCCCGGGGGCCCCCGGGGGCTGCCGGGGACAGGCAGGGTGCAGAGGGGGACTGCGGGGGGAAGGCTGCGGGGTGCCCGGGGTGCTGGGTCAGGGTGCTGGGGAAGGGGAGCGAGGCCAGGTTTGCGGGAGGTCCAGGTAGGAGCTGTCCTGTCCGGGGCATCAGGCCCGGAGCCAGGTCCGGACTGGGGGTCGGGATAGGGGTCCCGGGGCTCGCCCGGGTCTGAAGGGGATGCCCGCGATCTGTCTCCGCGAGGGGGGATGGCCGTGTGCCGGAGGGGCATCGCGGCTCCCGGGGGAGGGCTCCGGGTGCCGGGGGAGCTCGGAGAGCAGCGGTCCCGCAGCCCCGAGCACCGCGCCGTGCGCTCACCTGAGCGGGCCGCGCCGGGGCAGGAGGCAGCCGAGGAGGAGGAGGAGGAGGAAGGCGAGGGCACCGGCCCGGAGCGCGCCCATCCCGCCGCAGCCCCGGGCGCACGGGCATGACCCGGCCGGCGGCGGCGGCGTCCCCGCTCCCGCTCCCGCCGCACCGGGGCCGGCTCCCGTGCCCGCCCCCTCCCCGTGCCCTCGGGGCCGCTGCCGCCCAGCCCGGGCCCGCGGCCCCCGGGGGGCTCCTGGGCGCGGCAGGGAGCGAGCCCTGCGCGGTTTGGGGCGTCTCGGGGCGCACCGGGGTCAGGGATGCGCGGGGGGCTCGGGATGTGGCAGCGCTGATGGATGGCGGGGGACGCTCGGAGCACGGGGACCGAGCCGGGATCAGGGACGTGCGGGGCTCAGGGACGTGCGTGCCCGCCCCCTCCCCGTGCCCTCGGGGCCGCTGCCGCCCAGCCCGGGCCCGCGGCCCCCGGGGGGCTCCTGGGCGCGGCAGGGAGCGAGCCCTGCGCGGTTTGGGGCGTCTCGGGGCGCACCGGGGTCAGGGATGCGCGGGGGGCTCGGGATGTGGCAGCGCTGATGGATGGCGGGGGACGCTCGGAGCACGGGGACCGAGCCGGGATCAGGGACGTGCGGGGATGAGGGATGTGCGGGATGAGGGATGTGCGGGATGAAGGATGTCCCACAGGAACTGCCCGTCGGATGGGGGGGCGCGCCTGGGGAAAACCAGGCTCCTAAACCCTTCTGCCCGGCCTTGGGGCCGCAGCTCGGGTTCCTCCTGCTGGGACCCTGCCCGTGCCTTTCCCCGAGGCTCGGCAGAGGGACAGGTCGGTCCTGGGCGAGCTCGACAGTCATGTCTGCGAGATGCCGGAGCTGCTGCGGCCGCCAGGGAGAGGGAAACCGAGGCAGAGGGAGGGAGCTGCCGGTTAACCAGAGCCCGGGCCGGCACTCGGGCTGCTCGGCCGCCTTTGCCCTGTCCCCTGAGGCCACCCGGCCAAGCCGCAGAGTCGCCTCTGGTCCAAGGCAATCTGTGATTAATTTGCAAGGAAGTAAACAGTATTTAAAAAAGATAAAAGCGCAGAATAAATGATTCCTGGCAGATGTGTCAGTCAGGTTTCTGTTCACTCCGCTGTGGCTGGCTCATCTCATTTATTTGTATTAATTGCAGCCTGGTAATGGCTGGGAGCTGCTGTACAGAGCCATTGCTGCAGTGGGGCACAGAGGAGGATCTCAGGGGGAAGGAGAGCACGGTGCCCCCTGTGCCTGCTCTCGCAGGGCAGGCAGGGGCTGCACAGGGCTTGGAGAGGTCCCAGTGGCTTGGCGTGGGTGAGGCTGTGTGGAGCTGCCCCGGGGCGCTGCTCAGGGCACAGGGGGCTGCTGGCCAGCGGGCACATGGCTCGGGGTGCTGTGCAGGGCTCCTCGTCCCCAGTGGCCGGCTCTCCCAGCAGCAGGAGCTGGAGAAGTCTCCTCTGATTACCGTTGCCATTAATGTTCGCGGTGCCGCGGTGCTGGGGGGCGCAGGGCACCACGCGGAGCCCCGGGGAGCACAGCAAACGCACGCTGTGTGACAGCTCCTCGCCCAGACACTGTCCGAGCTAAGCAGAACTGACACTGCGGGGAGGAGGGGAGCCACGGCACCCTCTCTGCTCTCTGGGGAAACTGAGGCACGGGCACGGTGTCCCTGCAGCAGCTGAGGGGGCTGAGGATGGTCAGAGCGGCTGTGGGGCCAGCGAGTCGGGTGGCCACGAGCATGGGAGCTCAAGGAAAGGGGCAAGAAGCCATGAGTGCCCATGCTGTGCTCGGCAGGGCGCTGGGGCCGGCTAACAGGGCTCTTGGAGAGGCTGGTGGAGCCAGCGTGGCTCCCTGGTGGGCAGCACGAGGGGGCTGCTCGGGCACAGCCCCCTGCCCGCCCTGCAGCTCTGCAGCCAGCAGCGCGAGGAGAGCTGAGAGCAGCGCTGAAGATAAGCTCTGAGCACACGAAGGCAGCCAGCATCCCGGCAGGAGGGACAAGGCACTGCTGATTTGCTGCTGCCGGGCCGGGGATGCAGCAGGAGCTGCACAGCCCCAGCCCCAGCCGTGCCCAGGGGATGCAGGGTGGTGCCTCTCCTGAGCAGGATTTTTGGGAGTGACAAGGATAGGCTTATCCCCCACGTCCTTCCAATCAAAGCTGGAGGTGGTTTTTGTGTAAAGGCCAAGGTTCCAGCCAGCAGGCAGCTGTCAGGGCTGGGCTCCAGGCAGCCAGCCCCAGAGGCAGCCAGGCTGGCCAGGGCAGGGGGCAAAGCCCACGCTCTGATCCAGGGGCTGCCAGCCCGGTGCAGCCCCCCGGGGATCCCCCGTCCCTGTCACCGTGCCAGCTCTGCCCACAGGAGACACGCAGGCAACAGGGGCTGGGTTTGCTCAGAGGGGCAGAAAAGTGGGATCTCTTTTGTCCCCTTCCCTCCACGGTCTCTGAGTTCACATCAAACTGCTTCTTTGAGGCCAGACACTTCCCTGCCTCAAATCTGCCTGGCTCCAGAGCCTGGAGAAGGCTGTGCCAGTCCTGTACCCCAGCCCCTCTCTGCTGCTCAGCCCTGCACGGCCACATCCATGGGTGGAATCCTGTCTGATAAAGGAAACCCTGAGGTGCACTTGCAGACAACACCATTGTGAGGTGGGGCTGAGTCATTCAACCCCTTGAAAACAGGTTTGGGCTTTTTTCCAGAGAAAAGGTTCAGGTGCTTAAGCTCAGTTTCAGGATAAGGACCAGCCCTGTGCTATTTGTGTTGAGGGGTGAGGGAGGGCAAGGACAGCAGGCAAAGGAGGGCACTCTGCTCTTCATGGAGGAGCACAAAGTCATCCTGCTGCTTCCTACTCCTCCTTGGTCCCTCCTTGGAGTGAGCACAGGTTTGCCTTTGCCCTGGAGCCAGGAAGACCTGAAGCATCAGGAGGGACACAGGTTTGTGGTGGGCTTTGAGCAAACTGCTGCAGCAGCCCCCCACCAGCAGGCTTGGTGGGTCATTTGCTCTGGGGAGGGCTTGGGAGCAGCTCAGAGCAGCTCCTGCTCTGGGGGCATTGCTTGCTCTGCATCCTTCAGCCCCAGACCCAGTGAAGGGCTGGGCAGGGTAACAGCCCTGCAATTCATCAGGCACAGAGTCTGATGCTCTGGGAGGCTGTGCTTGCTGTAATTAGAGCACACCACATCACAGGCACCTCCATCCTCTCTCTTAATTCTCTCCTGACTTCCTCCCCCTCTCCCAAGGATCCCAGCCAGCCCAGCCAGCTCTGGACATCCTCCTTTTCCCCCCAGGACTGGGATTTTCTTTTGCAGAAGCCAAGGTGTGAAACAGAGCTGCAGAGGGCTCTGCCAGGCAGCGTGCAAGGGCTGCTGTGCATGCTCTGGACCAACTGCTTAAATGCTTAATGAGCCCTGGGGAGCAAAGCAGTCCTTGGGAAAGATTCAGGTTCTCTCTTGCCTTCAGTTTAGGGCCATGTCAGCTCTCCTTCCCCTTTTTTAATCTTCTGACAAGAGAAAATAAGGGAGAGCAGGCACAGTCTCCTCACTGTTTCTAAGGAAAGCAGCAAAACAAAGAGGAAACCCCACGTGCCTGCTCTGGGGGAGAGAACATCCCCTCACCCAGGCAGACTCCCCCAAAGCAAACATTCTGAGGCACTTAATGGGGTGTGAAATGAATGCTGGAGAAAACACATCCTGCTGGGTGGCTGTGCCCTGCTGCAGCCTGCAGCTCTCCACGCTGCCTGGCGTGAGCCTGGTTTGGGCACCGTGCTGTCACCTAATGTCACTGCTTTTCCAGAGTCCTGCTGCTCCCTGCCTCTCCTGGAGAGGCTGTGTCATAGGTTGTGGGTGCTTTCCTTCCCCAGCAGGAGCAAAAATCATCTCATTGCAATAAGCAGTGAGGGGATGAGCAGCTGTAGTGGTGCTCTGGTGGAGGGACAGGGCCCCACGGGCACCAGGGCGTGGGCAGAGGGCCCAAACATGCCCCTGCTCCTTAGCAGGACAAGCAGGCTCTGGGTTCAGGGGAGGCACCAGAGGGACAGGGCAGGGTGCCCCTCTCTGGGGCCTGGAAGGTCACAGGTTGTGTGGATGCTTGGAGCTGCTCCAAAGGAAGGTGGCACCGTGGTGTAGAGCAGGGGACAGGTGGCCCTGGGGACCCCAGGGGGGGCTCGGGGTTGGTGTGGCAGTGCCAGCAGGGCCCTGTGCCTCACCAAGCAGGGCAGGGTGACCCAGAGAGGATTGCAAGGTGAACGGAGACATCGGTCCCAACTCCAGCAAATGTTGCTCTCTGATTTTGTGGCACTTTTCCAGGCTAAAAATACCCCTGCTGCTGGTGCTGGGGTGGGCTGTGCGTGCACAGGCTGCCAGGGGATGCTCTGTGCTGTGGCACTGGCCAAGGGCAGCTGCACCAGGCGGCTGTGCCAGCCCTGCCAGCAGCCACGGGGCTGCCCCTGTGCTCTGGGAGCAGCCAGGCACAAAGGTCACCTCTCCTCCCTCTCCAAGTGACCTGGCTCCTCTCTCCAGGGCTCTCCAGGACACAGCTGCTCATCCATCAGTCCCCAAAACACTGTGTGGGGGCAGAGCACCCTCAGCGAGCACTCTGAGCTGTGTCTCAGGCCACACGGGGTCTCTGCCGATCCCAGAGGGTCCCTTTGGCTCATCTCAGGGGTGGGATGCTGTGACTGGGCTCATTTTCCCAGCGAGGCGCAGTGAGGTGAGCCCTGAGGACTCAGCCCATCACTGTGGCTGTGGGGGCTGGGGAAATGTGCCCCAGAGCCTCCATTCAGCTGTGGGGGACATCCCTGGGCTGAGAGGGCACTTCCCTGTCCCTGTGTGTCCCCTGAGCTGCTGGGGAGCTGGGTTTGGGGCTCTGGAGTGGCTGCTGGAGCCTCTCCGGGGCTGGGATGCAATCCCAGCGTGGCAGGAACCTGCTGGGCCAGCCCCATCCCACCCAGTGCCCTCCTGGGAGCAGTGTGGGAGCAGCTCAGTGCTGCTCCTCCCTGCCCTTCCAGACAGAGCACTCAGAGCATCCTGGAGCCCCTGAGCCCCTTCCCTGCAGGCTGGAGGGCTTTCAGCTGTTCTGAAGGCCACCAAAGAAAGGAGAGTCCAGGGCTTGTTCTTCAAAACCGCCCCCTCACCAACAGGTGCTTATCCTCATCTAACATATTCTGTTATTTTATGGCAGG